CTGACTTACTACTACACTGGAAGTCAGTTCCAAGCATACACCACTCTTTCTGTAATATTATACTTTCTAAGGCAAGTTTTGATTTCTTGGCTGGTGACCACAGTCTTTGCTCCCCTGTAGCATTACATAGAAGCATAGAAGATTAACAGCAATAAAAAACCAAGTGGTTAGTCAAGTCAGCCCCTTTTTTTTATATTTTTTGTTTGTTTCTTTTTCTTTCTGTAAAATAATACTTTCTAAGTTTAATGTTTAAAGTGGCTCCAAAAGTAAAAAACCTACTCTGTGCAGTTCCCACCCACATTCCTCATTACACTTACCTGAATATAACTACCTTGACTCTCTCTCTCCTCACTGGACAGAGAGGCAGCAACTGGAGCTATTAACTCCTGCTGTGTGAGGAGGGAATGGGGGCAGGGTGGGGCCAAGGCACGCTGTCTGGACTTGAAATTGAGCCCATAAGTGTTCCACAATAGGAAGCTACATCCTATGGTGGCACACTGAAAGGAGGAGGAGCCAGGAGTGCCAGCAGGGGACCTGAGAAGAGGTGGCCCAAAGCAGCTCTGTGCCATTCCATTACACAGAGCAGGTAAGTATATCATGTTTGGTTTTTGTTTTTGTTCTTTTAATTTTGACTTTACAATTATTTTAAGGTTGTGGTCCAGTGTTCTTTATATTAGCTTTATATTGAAAATACTGCCCTCCTGGACCTTATTTACATCCTTCAGGTATCAATTCCCTTCTTTCCCCAAAAGGCACTTTAATAGGTGTTAGAGGTGTTATTAGAATATTCAAATGCTTTCATCTCTTACAGCACACTGTCATTCTCCCTGACAGATATTTTATTGGCGTGTCCCTGTAGCTCTGCAGCATACATTGGGAAAACTGTATTGGGGGGGGCAGGTATCAAACGGGTCCAGAATTGACAGATGCTGAAGATTCTAGGTGCACTTTCAGGGTTGGATTTACAGCCTGGAAGCCTGAAGACCAGACTTTCTTAACTACAGTTCTGTGGCATTCTAGGATTTCTGTTGAGGTTTCTATGGCTTCCTTGACCTACGAGCAGTAGCAGCTTGTTCTTCTACACTATTGTGCCTGCATAGTTCTGGCACCAATGCCACTTGGGAAAAATAGCAATATGGGGCCAGTGGAGCGTTTCATCTTCTTTCTTGTATAAGTAACCACTGACACCAATGATTATGTTAGTGGTCTGTGAGGGTAGCATTCTTACTGCTGATCACCCACATAAGGGGACTTTTTGTACTGACCAGCAGGATAGGGTGACTCTTCTCCCATTGACCACCAGTATGGTGTGACTAATAAGCTGTAGATACATTTATTTTTTGGCAGGGATCCCATGATACCTGAAAATTAATTATGGGTTCCTTCACAGTAAAAAGGTTGAGAAGAGCTAACATAGGCACCTTAAGTCCTGCCCAAAAACAGGTTGCCCCACAAACATGGACCTTGCTTAAAATGTTTTATCGTCACTGCTGGAAAACTGATCATCTGAATGTAACAAGTGAAGGTGAGGAGGGAGAGGAGGAGTTGGAAAAACGTAAATACTCCTGCACTTGGGGAGTAGGCCCAAAAGAGATTAGTGGGCTGAAGTCAGATCTTGGCCTTCATGGGATGCACTCGCCTTGCTGCCCTCACAAGACTGGGGGAGTCTAGAGGCACTGCAATAATAAACAAACAGAGGGAGCACTGGCCTAGTGCATTATCCTTTAAAATAGCTTTAATAAATAAAAAGGTAAGTATTATACTCATAAAAATGAATAAAGGTACATGTTCATCTCATGAAAACAGCACAAACAGTCCACAAACATTAAGATGTGACAGAACGATGGAACTTCTGATGCATTTCAAGGACTTATCCTTTTCTTCAGAGCCCACCTCTGTGGGAGAGGAGGGGTGACAGGGGGCACAATGGGTGATAGAAGGTTGACTGTTGATGAGAGAAGTAGGATTTGGCATCCATAAAGAGTCACCATCAAGATGAAGCAGGACCTGTCAGCTTTCAGTGCTTCTGTGACAAACGAGGTCCCAGCTATCAAAATGACTGTTGGTCCCTGCAATTTCAGGTCCGCCTGCCAGAGTATAGGCATGTGCCTACCACACCTAATGGGAAATCCAGTGCCTCTAATGCTGGAAGTTAGCAAGTACGTATTATACATTTAGTTTATAAATAAGCAATAACTTTACCATTTATAGCTAATGACAGTGTTTCTTTAAGAAAGTTTTTTTATACATTTAATAGAGTGGTAATTATAACATATGTGAGGACTGCTAATGATATTATGGCACACACTGTACACAGAGAGTTTCTTCTAATGAGAACACAGGATGTTTGGATCAGATAAAAAAAATATTTGGATTCTTAGTCTTTAAGCTGTTGTATTTTTAGCCTTGGAGTTGAGAATTTGACCCTTGAATGTAAGTTTCGCCCATGGATCGTGCCGTAATAAGTTGTTATTCATTTCATGAAAAGATTGTGAGAAAGTGACAAAACATAATTAGGAAGACTCGGGCAGTGACCCCCAGAGGAAAAGGGAGTGGTGTTTTCCTCTTAAATGAAAGAGATAAAGATAGGAAATAAGGATGAGTAACTGGTTTACACATATAATGCATGTCTGCTGAGGTTTAATGTCTTACTCATTATAAAACAACAAGTCCCTAAGGCTAAACAACAACTTTGCACGCATCAAAGGGCAAAAGCAGAGGAAGCCGCTGCAGGCAAGCTCTACCAACCAATCACTAACCAATTAATCAGTGGTGATTCACAAAAATTGGAAATTATTAGCAATCTGTTTTTTTTTTGCCATCTTAAACTTACAAGCGTGTTGTTACATGTTAAAAATTGTATTTTTTGCAATGCTAAAAAAATGTGAATTGTAGTAACTAATACCAAGCAGTCAGAAACAATCTTCCAACCCTTGTCCCTATAATAAGCCTCTTTACCTTCCCTCCTACCTTTTATCCATGCTTTGCAAAAAAAGAAAAAAATTATAAGAGTATTAGTAAAAGTATTCCTATCCTGTTATCATAAAAAGTAGAAGGTCTGTGCAGTCAATACTATCCCGAGCCAATGCTCATCATTTAGAGCAGTGGTTTCCAAACTGTGGCCCTGGGGCCTTTGCTTGCCTTTATCTTGCCCTTGAGGCATTATTCCTGCCACTGACACCAGCAATGGGGCATAATTCCTACCACTGACACCAACAATAGAACTCTATTCCTTTCACTCACACCAATGACGGGGCATAATTCCTTCCACTGACAACAAAAATCGGACACTATTCCTCCCACTGACACCAACTATTTCTCCCCCTAATACCAAAGATTGGTTATTGTTTACTCCCACTGGTCACAGTCCGGCCCCCCTAAAGTCTGAAGAACAGTAAACTGGCTCTTTCTTTAGATAGGTTGTAAACCCCTGATTTAGAGGGTCACACCTTCTCCATGACATGCACCAAAACACCCCCACTCTCCCGTCATATGCAATGCTTTTCTCAAAACCCAACAAAAAAGCACCCTCCTCCCTTCCCAAAGTGATAATGCTTGTTTCCAGACACAGACCACTACAATATGGAATAGGGGGGAGGGTTCATTGTGGTTGCAGTGTGTCAATTTGGTGAAAAATATTCAAGAGCTAGCATGTGTAAAGCAATCACAGAGTTGGATTTTTCAAGATCTCTGACACATGGGTAGAGCCCATGCAACTTAAATTAGGGTGCATGTCCGCTGCCCGGAAAGCCCATGTGCTGCATACAACCTAACTCTTATATCACTGAGAGTATTCATGTGACTATGGTGAAAGCAGATCTGTCTGCTTAACAGTTTCAGAAATTGCTGACAAAGCTTACATCAGCATCAGCAGAATAGAAGCAGCTAAATGTTACCTGTATCTGTATTTCTAACAAACGTAATCATTATTGATTGAGTGTTATCTCCTTATTTCAACTACACCCCCTTCTATTTACATTAGATCAGCAGGCGACCTGATCCAGAAGGTATGGTCTATGGACAGCACTCCAATCCTCTTCTGTGCTGATTGGGCTGCTAATGTACTGTGCGGCGTTTCATTATACCAGTACCATACTACCCATCCAGCACTAAAAGGGGCTGGAGTACCCAACCAGCTAGCTAACTGATCTAGGTAAATAGAAGGGGGTATAGAATATATAGAATAGAAAGGAAAACAGTTCAAATTAATTTAGTTTAATATTTAAATCACCTTTGAATTGCGGTAAGATTTCCAAAATCCCTCTCTAGAGAGAGAGAGAGAGAGATTTATTTTACAATCTGAAGTTTCTCTTCAACTGGTTCATTGGTTGACTGTATCTATTGTCCATAGTGACCCTTTAATTCAGTATAGAGAAATAACTTGTTCATGTTCTAAGAGTAAGCATAGCCATGTCTAGCCTTCCATGGAGCTAATCTGCTGAACCATTAAGGCTAGCTGTTTCTATATTTTTCCATAATCCCTCTGATGTGGTCATTTAGGCCATTCAGTTCCAACTGGCCCCATGGCAAATTCTAGCAAGATTTTCTAAGCACAAAAGGAGATTACCTTACCACTATGTTTTTGAATATTATTACAAAACCCAGGTTGGTGATCTAACCTGTAAGAGTGACTCTCTCTTCTTAAAGACAAAGCACTCTTCAAAGGAATCAAACAGAGCTCAGATTCTGATAGCATAACAGATCATGTATGTTGGAAGAAAACACACACTGGAGCTGGAAGTGTATGAATCAAGTAACATGCAAAAGGGGAAGTTCTGCTTTAACCACTTGTCTACCAAGCACTTTCACCCCCTTCCTGCCCAGGCCAATTTCAGCCTTCAGAGTTGTCACACTTTGAATGACAATTGCGCGTTCATGCAACACTGTACCCATATGACATTTTTATCATTATTTTGAGACAGATAGAGCTTTCTTTTAGTGGCATTTAATTACCACTGGGTCTTTCATTTTTTGATAAACAAACAAAAAACAACTGAAAATTTTGAAAAAAAAAGTTTTTTTCATAGTTTCTGTTATAACATTTTGTAAATGAGTAATTTTTCTCCTTCACTGATATGCGCTAATGAGGCTGCAGTGAGGACACTGATAGGCTGCACTGATGGGCACTGATAGACAGCACTAATGGGCACTGATGAGGAGGCACTGGTAGGTGGCACTGCTGGGCATTGACAGGCATCACTGGTGGGCATTGACAGACATCACTGATGGGCACTGAAAGACAGTACTCATATATGGCATTGATAGGCGGCACTGATAGGCAGCACTGACTGGCACTGATAGGCAGCACTGACTGGCACTGTTAGGTGGCACTGACCGGAACTGTTAGGCGGCACTGAAGGACACTGATAGTCAGCACTGACGGGAACTGTTAGGTGGCACTGACTGGCACTGTTAGGTAGCATTGATTGGAACTGTGAGGCGGCACTGATGGACACTGATAGGCAGCACTGACAGGCACTGATAGGCAGCACTGAATGGCACTGATAGGCGGCACTGACTGGCACTGATAGTTGGCACTGAAAGGCAGCTCAGATGGGCACTGATATGTGGCATTGATGTGCACTGGTAGGCACTGATATGTGGCATTGATGTGGCACTGATGGGTACTGACAGGTGGCATTGATGGGCACTGCCAGGTGGCACTAATGGACACTGACAGGTGGCACTGATGGGGCTACACTGATCATCAGGGCACTGATGATCAGTGTAGATGTCCTCTCTGAGGAATGCCAATTACCGGCTTTCCTCTTCTCACGAGCTGTCAGCGTGAGGAGAGAAATGCCGATAACCGGCATTTCTTTATTTACATGTGATCAGCTGTGATTGGACACAGCTGATCACATGACAGAGCCGAAGTCATCGGCTCTTTCCGCTGATCGGTGATCCTCTGTGTCCCAGGGACACAGCGCACCACCGATCGCCGTGCTACATGCCCCCGGGGGGGACACACACGGTTAGAGTGGGAGGACGTTCTCCCAGAACAAGAGAACCACCACCCATCCGTCATTTCCTTATATGGCGAGCGGGAGGCGGTTAAGGACTGGTCCCCCGCACAGCGCAAGGAATTGGCAACCTTAGGGGGAAATATGGGACCATTCACACTGTGCAGCACTACTCACTCATGCAGTGGGCACCTGGCTGTGTAGCCACAAGCTGTCACAGCCGGATGCCCATACTTAAGATGCTGATGCCGGGGAGAGAGGATGGCTGGTGAGCCCAGTTGCTATGAGCATACCGATGAATCATAGGACAGGGGAGTGTCTCTTTTTTTTAAAAGTCAGCTACAGTTTTTGTAGTTGCTGACTTTTATTTTTTTGAGAGTTGACTGGAATTCCGCTTTAAAGAGCAATGGTGCTTATAAATACTATCTTTCTGTGTTACAGCCCAAGGCAAGTTAAAGATATAACGTACCAATTATTTAGCCACAATTTTTTAGTTTTTTTAAACATTTGCCCAGTTTTTCTTTAACATCTGTTCCATCAACTAATGAACATTATTATAAAGAGTATTATCGATTTACATATAATGTTACTAAATTACCACATGATATTGAATGACCAAAAAGGTACAGCAACCATAACAAAGAACACATTCTTGAATTTACAGGAATTTGAACCCTGCTTCAATAGGGTTTACATGCTAAAGTAGAAGAGAAAGAGCCAAAGGTGAGTAAGATTTGGGGTACATGAAACCCTTACAGTAAACTTTTTGTATTCAGTCCCTTTTGGTCTTTTAAATTTACCATTAGAAATTGATTTACAGTCTCCTTGCTCATTTGGTTTTCCCCTAAACTCAGTGGAGCTGTGGTTTCTCCCTTCTGCCTCTAGGTGTCACTGGTACTCTAGTATTAGCATGAGAAGCTACAGTAAAGCTGAGTTATGAATAATCATGGTTCTCCTAGCCAGCTAGTAGGAGTTATTATTTTTAGAGGGGTTTTTTTTCCACTGGTGCATGCTAGGGGATAATATAAATATTTGGGGAAGCCCACATGATCTTTCTCTTTCCCCTAGGATCCAGCCTGGGAAAGGTGTGTGAGAAGCAGCTGAAAGATTAGGCCTACGCCATAGAGGCCTATGCATGTGCTTGGAGCAGAAGGAGCCTGCCTTTCCAGTGTGTTAGGTTGCTTAATGCCAGGTCTTCAGGGAGCCTCATATGAGACAGAAGAGGAGAAGATGAAGTCTGAGACGAAGTACCAGAGGTCACTTTGCTGCTTGAGGTCCTGGGTAAGGAACTCATAGAGATCCTGGGAAAGCATCAAGATGAGATCATTGAGGCTACTGCTGTTGCTACTGGAGAAGATATGGTTGCTTACAGAGACAGCTGCTTCTAAAAAGGTGCACGTTGCTGGATTCCTGGACTTGTGTCTGTTGCCCTCTGTTGAACATGAGCAGAAAACTTCTTTTTTGTTTTGAAAGTGACTGGTGCCATTCTGTTCAGAGTTCCCACTATTGCCTAAAAAATCTATACCGAGGTGAAATGTCAGCTCATCCTGTTCCTGGGTGTACCACCATGCCTCATGGAGGTCAGGGGAGGGTCATACACTTATTAGAGGTGTAGTTACATAGTTAGTCTGGCTGAAGAAAGACAAAAAGTCCATCTAGTTCAACCATTAAAAAAAAATAAGTAATAATCCTACACCCACAGTTGATCCAGAGGAATACAAAAAAACCCAGCAAAGCACGATTCAATTTGCTCCCACGGGAAAAAATTCCATCCTGATCCCCCGAGAGGCAATTAAATATTCCCTGGATCAACTTTACCTATAAATGTTAGTAACCAGTTATATTCTGTGTATCCAAGAAAGAATCCAGGCCTTTTTTAAAGCAATATGTAGTGCTATCCCAGCAGGGGGGCACTGGTTATAACTGGGTTTCCCCCAAATAGTACAGAGGCCACCAGCCACCAAAGCAACAGTCTATTCACTCCAGCTTCAATAAACAATCTAGAGGCTGTTTTTTGTCATTTATTGCTAATACAACTTGTAACAGGAGAGGGATTAGGGCATGGGATACTCCAAAATGGTTACTACTTAACAATTAGAGAACAGTCTTCTCCTTAAGCAACTGTGAATATTGAACAGTCTAAGGCTTCACAGCTGGGGACCAGTCTTTTTGGCATCTGGTTACAGCAATCTCAGGAACACTGCACAGGAGGGCACTCTACGTTCACAGTCTGGGACACTGCTGAGGATAGGGAATGACCTTGTGAGAGATGAGAGAGATGTCTCAGTCCAAGCAACCTCTGGCACCTTTATCCTAAAAGCACACAGTCAACAGGAATCAATTCAGGGCCATTACTCACAAGTCCCCAGGAGAGCTGCCATCTTCCAGCTTTCTCTTGACACACTCCAGTGAGCGAGACAGGCAGCCCTTCTCTTTGGTGAAGTTCTGCAGTCAGTTTTAGATCTCTTCCAGGTCTCAGCTCTACCACCACTGAGACCTCACAGAACAGCAACACAATCTAAAGGGTGCCTCAGGGGCAATAACCCTCTGAGGCTTGGAACTCTCCTTCCTCAGGAAAGTCAATCTCTCCATGGCTTCAGACTATTTATCAGCTTCCCAGACTACCATCTGGTTACACCTCCCCAGGGGTCAGTGTTGCCAACATACCAGATTGAAATTTACTGACACGACACCCAAAGTTTACTGGCCCAGCCAAGTTTTTACTGGCATTTACAAAAGTTAAAACTAGGACCGTTTAAAGTGTAAATTTCAGTATTTAGGCTACAAACAAGTACAATATGCAATTGGCAATGTGATTTAAGGTAGATATTAAGGTGAAACATATTTATTATTTTATTTTCAGTTTAGTAGCTCAGGGACAGGACTCAGAAGGACAAGAAATTAGAATGGGCAGGTACACACACATGAAAATTGACTCTCACAATGACACTGACAGCAGTGTGCAGCAGCAGCATAGATGATAATGACAACTCACCGACATGAGTCACAGTAATTGTCTTCCTCCACTCCAAGTGGTCCCTTCAGTTTACTCCAATCCAAACAGTACTGACAGCTCCCGACTTGCCTTGCTCGTATCCCGCAGACCCTCACAAGAAGCTCTAGATGCTCTGCTCCGCTTCCTTGCACCATGACATCACATGACACACTCAGGCACCACTTCAACCAGACCCACCCACCCCCTACCAGCACCGCTCAAACACACCGTAGCAGGCACTCAGATGGTCTCGGCCTGCTCCTGAATGGAACTGCACATGCTCAGTTCCAAGTTGAGCATCACAGCCATATTTTTAACTGGCAACCTTTTCTTTTCACTAGCATTTACTGGCAGGAGGAAAGAGCCTGTTTTTTACTGGCTGCAAGTAAAAATACTGACATTGAGAACACTGCCAGGGATTGGCTAGACCCTGATCCATATTCAGGCTGGTTATGTGAATTCTCCCTCCCTAAGCTCTAGAAACTAGAGGCAATGAGAAACTAGAGGCAATGAAAAACTAGAGGCAATGAGAAGCAATCAAATTCCCAGCCTGTGAAACCCTGAACATACCAGACCAAACCATCACTGGTCCCTTGATTACCGAACGAGCCAGAAACTAAATTTACTTAGCATCCTACACTAGGAGGGTGCTACATGCATATTTTTTATACTGCTGACAATATACAGTTGCAAGAAAAAGTATGTGAACCCCTTGGGATTACGTGGAGTTTTGCATGAATTGGGCATAAAATGTGCTCTGAACGTCATCTAAGTCATAACAATAGAAGAACACAGTCTGCTAAACATGATACTACACAAACATATTATAACATGTATATTGTGCTTTAGATACTGCACATTCCATTAGTTCCTGCCCTCAAGGAGTTTACAATTTAAAGTCCCTATCTCACTTACATATATACACATATTAGGTCCAATTGGTGCCAATAACCTACCAGTATGCCTTTGGAGTATGGAAGAAAACCCACACAAGCACAGGGAGAACACCACTCAGATAGCATCTTGTTTGAGATTTAAACCAAGGACCCTAGTGATGCATGGTAGGGGGGCTAACCACTATGCTACTCTCTATTATCCTTTGGGCTCACATTCTTTCCTGAAACACCCAGGGGATATACCATTTACCTCTTCCCAGACTCAGTTGCTCAGAGTCCACACTCAATTGGACAGCGGTGGCTATTCAAATAGTGCAAAAAAGTATCTATTAATCCAGCCAAAATCTTATCATATGACAACTTCCTGTGCTCTCAGAACACTTACCATGTATGTTATGGAGGAGTTGGGGAGGTTTCTGCTATCCTATCCTGTTTCTGTTCTTGTGATAC